AAAAATAGCTAAAAGCAGAAACCGCAGGCTGCAGTGGTTGGGTGTGCAACAACAATGTCTGGCAAATTACTGGGGTCATCTACCAAAGTTCAAGGTACTTTTCTACTGTTGCTAAATGTTATAGTTATTGTAAAAAAGTAAACTTCATTGAATGGTTTTATGATAAAGAAAAGATGTTTTACTTTTGAAATGGTATAAAAGATTAGGATAGTATCAGAGAATGCTGTGAGAATACAAGTGAGAACTGACAATAATGATGATGACAACTGATTGTTGTTGAGGTAACTTTGCTGTACAGTCACTGTGACTGATTGGATTGCGGAAGAGGAGGATTAGGAAGAGGATGAACATGGCGAAGATGGTACTGGAAACCATCCTTGCGGGTAAATGTACTATTGCAGACCGTACATCGAAATGGCCGCTCGTTGGTGTGAGTTCTAGCATGAACTTTTAGGTTACCCTTGTGGGTGAATGCTAGCGGGCACTGGTCACACTGAAACGGTTTCTCGCCGGTATGTATGAGAAGGTGTCTTGTTAGGTCACCTTGTTGGGTGAAACGTTTCCGACACCGTTTACAGCGGAATGGCCGTTCACCAGTGTGAATTCGCATGTGAACGGCTAGGTTACTCCGGTCGGCGAATGCTTTCGTACAATGGTCACACTGGTACGGCCGCTCGCCGGTATGAAGTCGAGTGTGGGCTTTTAGGTGTTCCTGTCTGGTGAATCGTTTCTGGCACCACTCACACACATATTGCCTCTCAGCGANGTGAAACGTTTCCGACACCGTTTACAGCGGAATGGCCGTTCACCAGTGTGAATTCGCATGTGAACGGCTAGGTTACTCCGGTCGGCGAATGCTTTCGTACAATGGTCACACTGGTACGGCCGCTCGCCGGTATGAAGTCGAGTGTGGGCTTTTAGGTGTTCCTGTCTGGTGAATCGTTTCTGGCACCACTCACACACATATTGCCTCTCAGCGATGTGCGTTTTAGCGTGATACCACAGGTGACCCCGTTGTTTGAATGCTTTGGAGCAGACCGTACATTGGTACGGTCGCGCCCGCGTACGGTGCCTACTACCAGGAACAACTCTCTGGACAACAGCAGCAGCTTCAGGAGGTGGTTGATGCACAGGAGCAGTGGCAGCAGTGACAGCAGCAGTGGCATCAGCATCAGCATCAGCATCAGCATCAGCATCAGCATCAGCACCAGCACCAGCATCAGCATCAACATCAGCATCAGCATCAGCATCAGCAGTGTTCACCGCTGTACCGCCATTGATTGCAGCTTCAGCCACTTCCCCTTGATCTGATAAAGTGATAAATGTTAGTGATTTTTACCTAAAAACATCATTGAAAGAGAACTTACCGGTTTCAGTTGCCTGGTGATTGCCAAGTTGTTCATTGTTAAGGTCGTGGTGGTGGTCCGCAGCAGTAGTATTTTGAGGAGCATTTTGATCATTGAGATTCACTCCAGTTGCAATGTTTGGGGATGGTAAACGACGAGGAGGAGGAGGAGAAGGATAACGGGCAGAAGGCGATTGAGGTGTGGTGTGGTAGACAAACATCTCATTGAACTGCCGATTTGTCAGAGCCTCTTCATCTTCCTCCTCCTCCTCATTTTCTTCTTCTTCCTCCGGTGGTCTAGGATGAGCGACTGGCGATGGCGGTGGACTGTCATCCTCATCTCCTGAGGGAACCAAATCAATGGTTCCCTCATCGTCACTGTTCACCTCTATGACCTCTTCTTCAGGAGCGTTTTCAACTCGGCGACTCATGTTGTGGTGGTCGGGAATGGGGATGCTAATAGAGAAAATGACTCCAGAGAAAGTACGCAGCAGAGATGTTTTAGAGTGCTGATGGTCTGGCCCTAACAGAGCAGCAATACAGTGAATGGACAGTTGCGCCTGAAATAAAGTCGTATTAGGGGTACAGTTTTTGCACTAAAAGAAATACAACTTGCCTTGGAGGTAATATGAGTAGCAGAGTTGGAGAAGTTGTGTTTGTCACTGGTGATGGTGATTACAGATGAACTGCTTCTGGTTGTTGGGATTGCGAGTTCAACTGGGCGAGTGAAGAGGACCGAGTGGTTAGGGGCGCAGGTCAAAGCGTTTGGAGAGGGAGCTTGGTGACAACGAATAAGAAGTGTTTATTGAGTTAGGAAGAACACAAAGAGGGCTCCGAATGGCAACTGAAGCATTGTGCGTTTTTGGCTCGCCTTGAGAAAGCATGTGCATCGACGTGAAAGAAGAGCCCAGAACAGCGAATTACGCATGAGCGAGAGTGAGGAGAGAAAGATAAAGATGAAGGACAGTGACTACATGGCCACAAATGGGCTGCTGATAGATCTTCGAAGGACAGAAGGGAAAGGATAAGAAATGGACTGTGAACGGGAACAGGCAACAGAGAACAACAGAGCTCTTGCAGGGTCGACAGCGCGGCCACGCTGAACTCGCCACTAACATCCAGAGAATGGACTGTTGCGCGTGAGCTCCACTAGTAGTGGCAACACCACAACAGCAAAAAAAACTTTGTACAACTAACGTTACGTGCAACCTAGCCGACTTGTGACTTTGGCAAAAACTGTGGTGGTGCTTTCAGAAAACAGTGCCACTACTACGACTGGATTCAACTGTCCATTTCCTGCCACTATTCTCTATTCTGCAAACTGTGCGTTTTTTTCAGCCGATAACTTGTCGAGGAAGGCCATCCAGTCAGTGTACCCGAGAGAAGTAGCTTATCGCGACCTGGTCCCTGTTTTGCATTTGCATAAGTGCCCGGCCAAGGCCACTGATAGACGCGTTTGTGTACAGGCGCGTCTCAGCATTATGTTTGTAATGCCTCAAAATAGGCTTTTCTCGTACTGCATTCAAAATTGACTCAAATGCAGCTTGTCGCTCGCTTGTCCACTCAAACGGCGTATTTGTGCGCTGGAGTTGATTGATCACTACCACGTTTTGTGCCAGATGTGGCACATGTTGGTGCACGAAGGCCAGCATGCCCGCTGGCGAACGGACCTCTCTCACGCAAGACGGTGGTGACATGTTTATTATCACTTTGTCTGTCAGGCTCTGAGAAGCACGAATGCTTCCCTTGGAGATTTCAAACCCCAGAAAATCGATCTCTGCTGCCTGCTCGTCTCGCGTTACCGACGAGGCAAGGCCAGTCACTGTAGAGCCGGCCTGCTCGGCCGAAACCTGCTGGGCCTTGCCAGGTTTCAGTGGTGTGACTTTAGGGCACCCTTAGTTGCCATAAAGCCCCCCTCTAACAGGTCGCCGGCCGACAGGCTCCTATCGTACTTAGGCAAACAACTGGCGCCAGTAGTGTCTGTGGGTCTCCCCCGCCAGGCAATAAATTGCCACCAGTCTCATCGCTCGCCTCGTTCACTAATGTGATTGAGACCGTTGTCAAAACAGTGTCAGCTGCTTCACTCACAGCTTTTGCCCCTGCAGTAGGCATTGGAGCAGGCACAACTGGCGTTTGATCATCAGAACTTTTCCTGTTCCTACAGAGCCAGTTGGTGCGCCTGGCGCTGTTCAGGCTGGTCGTCCGGAGTCAGAGTGTGACCAGTGACACTACTCAATGGTAGCAAATCGCTATCTTGGAAGGCCTCTCCGAGATTTGTTGTCCCAAACATGAGAAACTTATGCTAACAGAACAAAACAGTTCGAGAAAACTTAGCTATTATGCAAACTAAATGCAAAAAACAGTCCCAATTTCAGAGGTATTGCCCCTTTGATGAAGTCCACAACCGTTTTTCCACCGCAATACCATGTAAAGTGACTGACTTTCACAGTTTTGAAAAGGTAATAGAAACCCAAAAAGAAAATCTTTTAAAACTGATCAGAGTTGTTGTGTTTAATTGACAAATGAAGTGTATTCTTGACGTGAGTAATCCTCGCAGCAAAAATGTTTAAAAATGTATCGAGCAGTTTCACAAACTCAGTTCCACGGTTCTTTGCTTTATTAACTGTTGCTCCTGGTAGCTTATCATAGCTGATTCGATCCGATCTGATCACCCTGAACTGCCTGCTTTAACCGAAGCTGTATTTGACAAAACGTCGGCAGGTTTGAGATTGGCGTCACTCGGCTCTTGCTGCTGATCCTCCTCTTGTTGCTGTTGTTGCTCCTGCTCCTGCCCCTGCTGCTGCTGCTCCGGATGATGGCCCTTCCTCAGACGGTGCTTCCGCAGGTCGATCAACGAGGCGTACGCCTTCGGGCAGAAGGTACAGCGGTACGGTCGCTCTCCGGTGTGCGACCGGGTGTGCGCTTTGAGGCTGCTGGAGTGGGTGAAGCGCTTCGGACAGTGCTGACACTGGAAGGGCAGCTCCCCGGTGTGAATGCGAAAGTGGCCGGTGAGGCTGGCCTTCTGCGCGAAGGTCTTCGGACAGACGGAGCACCGGTAGGGCCGGTGGCCGCTGTGGGTGAGCAGGTGATCCGTCAGGTTGCTCCGCTGGGCGAAGGGCAGTGAGCACTGGGGACACTGGAGGGGCCGGGGTCGCTCTCCGGCGTGAATCTGCTCCCGGTGGCGCTCCAGGGAGGCGCCCTGGGTGAAGGCGCGCGGGCACTGGTCGCACTGGTAGGGCCGGTCGGCGGCGGTGGTGTGCGTGTAGAGGTGACGCGTCAGGTCGGCGCGCTTGCTGAAGGCCATCGGACAGGTCTGGCACTGGTGGGGCCGCTGGCGGGTGTGCACCGTCCGCATGTGCTTCGCCAGGTGGGCGGCGTCAGGGAGGGCCTTTGTGCAGACGGAGCAGATGAACGTTCGGGGCGCCGTCCGTGCCTTATTGGTGGTGGTGATGGGGGTGATGTTCATCTTTTTCGCAGCTGCACCCTGAGAAGGGTCCACCTGCACAAAGACGGCCACTATGGTGTTTGTTTCCGCACTACTCGGTACTGGTTCGGCTTGTACTGGGATGCGACTTTTGCGGCCAGTGACCAGTTCCGCTTCAGCTACCGCTGGTTCGGAGCTGTTGACCAATTCTGCCGAGTCAGTGGAGTGCCTGTTGACGTGTTCGGTCAGGTCGTTCAGTGTGGAGAAGGTTTCCGGGCAGAACATGCACGGATAGGGAATAGGCTCCTTGACCACAGTTTTGGCCTTAGGTCTATTGACTTTCATTTGTTTATCTGCTAAAGAGTGAAGTGTTAGAGAAGTGGTGGTAAAGTTATATCTGCATTTTGAATCAGCAGAAGAAAACATAACTGACCTGCAGTTCTAGAAGAGGATTTTGGTGGTAATGACGGTAAACGTTTGTACTCCTCCTCCTCCTCCTCCTGCTCATTTTCTGAGCTCATGATGATGGTTCCCTCGCTGTCACTCTCACTTTCGACTTTCACTTGGCGGTGGCTCATGGTGATTTAGAAGGCAGTTGATGATGATGGCAATGTTAGTACTGAAGAAAAGCGATCCCGTATCATCAAAATGCTCCACAATGTGCTGTTGTTGGTGGTGGAAGTGGTGGTATTAGGGAATGCAGATAACAGATCGAGCTAGGAGTGATGAGCCCTAGCTGCTGCAACTGTCACCTAGTCTGCTGTCGTCCTAGCTAAGATGGCTCCTCTTCAGTGGCCGTTGCTGTTGTTGGCTGTTGCTGTTGTTGGCGGCTGCTGCTGCTGGCACCAAAACACTGAGCACATCGCGGCGGTAGCGTCTCACGCCTGCGCAGTGCGCACAGTCGCCAAAGCCAGCAGCGAAACATCTACCAAAACAAAAAACAACGCTCTAAACTTTTAAATTCATTCAAACTGTTCAATTCTATTGCAAATTGACAAAGTTTTTTATTTATTTTTGTTAATAAAAACAAAAACTTAGTTGCTGAAAACGACTAGTGTTTAAAAGAAAGAAAAAGTTTACAAAGCAAATGTTTATCAGCAAAATATGCTCATGTCAAATCAGATCAAACGGTGAAATGGAGTTTTAGAAAAAGAGAAAAAACAGACAAATAGAAAAAACAATGCAATACTAATCATCAGCAGAAGGTCGACTAGAAGCAACAGTACAATGGTGTGCTCAAGTTGAGGTGATCATCTTCGGTCTTCGAATTGTTTGCAAGTATTTCCCCCATTTTTTAGTGCACTACTTCCTCAGAAGACTGTTCAGATCAAAGTGCAGCTCCTCCTCGTCATCGTCATCATCCTCTGACTCAAAGAGCGGCGCCGCATCGCTGGCATTCAATTTGGTGTAGTGAAAGCTGTCCAGAACAGGCTTGTTAGAGGAGGAAGTTGACGAGGCTCCAGAACCAGAAGAAGAGGTTCCATTATCACCTCCAATGCCTGATCCAGCAGCTCCGGCCACTCCGGAAAGCAGTCCACAACAGCAGAGGAAGGAGAGGAAGGCGGAGACAACTCCCGAGGACCTTCTTTTCCTTCTGATGCTTCCTCCGGTCAGCAGAAACTGCTGACTGACACTGGCCGGACAGCAGGCGACGATGATGAAGAGGAGGACGATGATCAGGATCAGCAGGCTGAGAAGGGGCAGCACTAGACCGCCACCTGAAGAGGCAACCAGGCCTGCCTCGGAGAGAGACTGCCGCTCCAGAGTGAAGTCGAGCAGGACAACGGGCCACTTAATCTCTTTATCACCCATTTCAGTTTTGCCCTCTTCAGGAATGACCACTTTCTTAGTGACCGACTTGTAGCCCACCCTCGATGCCGTCACCTCATAGCTTCCCGGCAGCAGGATGCGCCAGTAGTCGCCATAGGGCGCCACGGAGTGCACCGCCCGCCCACCGCCTCCGTTGACGGTGATGGCCACGCCGCTCAGGCTCATATTCGTTGCCCG